TATCAGGCCAAATTGGAGATGTATATATAAACACATTTTCATCTCTTATTTTATTTGATGTGAGACTTTGTTTGTATCCTACCATATGATACATTACATTGGTCAAGTTGGGATTGTATATTTAGTGAGAATATTTAGTGAGGATGTTCTTGTTCAAACGAGAACGTTATTGCTCGAGCTATTTAAGTTGTTGCTTGAGTGATAAATTCACACTTTAAGCGACATTGTTGTGTTTGAGTGATTTATCTTTTGTTTATTCATGGTTAGTTGTTTGAAATTGAATATTAATTATTTTGTTATATATGATGCATGAAAGCTAAAGATTGATTGATCAACAATATATTACTCTAATATTATAATAGTAGTCATAGTAATAATAAGAATGTACTAAAAAATTATTAATTTCTTGTGTAAGTATTAATTTAGAATTTAATAAGATATTATACATTATATCAAAAAGACAAAATATATCATATAATAAGTGGATAAAGATTTTTTATATCAAGCTAATGATAAATAACTATCCATCATATTGTAACAATTTACTAAATACAATTTATACAGAAGAAGGACATATTGTCAAGAAAACCAAATATTGTGATTCATATTATTCTTTTGAGTCTAAATTTAATATTAATCTTCCTAAAACAATCCATCATTAAATTTTTTTATTTACATTTTGTGATTTTGGTATAACACAAAAATAAATAATTCTAGATAGAGTTTAAATTGAAGTATCCAATAAAGGTTCCACGGTACTTTTATTTTATGAATGTTATAATGAAATATATATATATATATATATATATAATATATATATATATATATATATATAATCTTTTCACAAAATGTTTCTTTAAAAAGGAAAGTAATATCAACTCTACTTTCCAAAAACAAAATATTCTTCATAAATGACATTTATAAAGAACGAATTAAAATGTACATTTTGGAAAAGAATCATTCAAAAATATAAAAGTATATAACTAATTACTAGTTTCAAAAGTTTATTCAAAATATTTAAAATTAATAATTTATTTATAGCATTTAAAATATTGATCAGTTATAGCACTGGTAGTATATGTTGTATACCTTAATTCAACAACAACTATATACAGCTTAATTTTAAATTAATTATTATGATGTTTTTAATTTGCTTGTCATCCAAATTTTTTGCAATAAATTAAAAAGTTGTTTTAATTACTAATATTTCTAATTGTCTTAGTTCTTATATCTGGAAACAGTTATGTGACCGATTAAGATGTAAAATAAAAAATATATATTTAAATACTTCTTAAAAGAATGGTATGTTTTCATGGAAAATTTAAAAAAATGCTTCTTATTTGAAAATCTCTTAACTACAATCTCGATTTTTTAATCTAACATAATTAACTATATCGCATAAACAAAAGTTATTATTACAAAAGTTGATTTATACCCAAAGTCTAAATTTGAATGCATAGAAATAAAAGTTTTAAAATATGTGCCTAATTAATTAATGCAAGTGAAAAAAATTGAAAGTGATGGTCACTCATTCTGATGGCTATGGCTGACCATATGAATTCACTTTACAAACAACAGCATAATATAAACAAAATAGAAGAGAGAGAAGAACAAAAAACTAAATACATTTTGTTATTATTATAAAGGGAAATTAAAAAAGATAAATAGGAGAAGACTTTTTGGAGTTTGATATCAATTCATCTCTCAACAACTGGACACAGAACAGAAGAAGTATGACTAAGCCGCCTCTGTTGTCAAATCCAACTACTCTCTATTCTCTATAATTGTGAACAAAGATTCTTCCTTTTGCTTCGTCTTTCTTCATTTGAAACAAACCCATCAAAGGGGAATCAAATTGGAAAATGGGGTGTGGCAATTTGTTCTTCACAATTCTGATAACTTTCTCAGTGGCTCTTATAACGTACAACATCATCATCTCAGCCAATGCCCCTCTCAAGCAGGACTTCCCAGGCCCTTCTCGCCCTTCCATTTCGGTGGATCCTCTCATCAAGATGCCACTCCACAGATCCTCCTCCCAAAAAAAGAGGCTTTTTCACACTGCAGTCACTGCCTCTGACTCTGTCTACAACACGTGGCAGTGCAGAGTGATGTACTTTTGGTACAACAAATTCAAGCATGGACCCCAATCTGGGATGGGATGCTTCACTCGGATCCTTCATTCTGGGAAGCCTGACCAGTTCATGGATGAGATCCCCACCTTTGTTGCTCAGCCTTTACCTGCTGGGATGGATCAGGTTTTGCTTTGCTTCTTGCACAATTATGCTTTCTGGGTTCCGTTGGGTGTTTTTTCTTGTGTTTCTCTGCTGTCACTGTGGATGTTATTTTTCTGAAGTTGAAAAAAATTGAATTTTTTTTACATGGGGGGTTCAATTTCTGAATGATTGCAAAATCGTATGAATTTTGTGGGAATGGTATAACACTGTAAAAGGTTTTGAACTGTTTTTCGACAACATGGTAATAAGTTGACTTTTGTTTTTTGTAATTTCAAGTGGTTGGGTTGTGTTTCTCTACCACAATGACTGTGACTCTTCAGAACAAAAGAACGAACAAAGAACAGGGACATTTCTAATTGCGAAACTAGCTTTTGAGATTGAGTTAAATTCAAACTCAAATTATAAGATGTCATGGTTTATCTCAGTAATTGTTGACGAGTCTAAACTCAAATTATACTGTTTCTGGGAAAAATAGCTATTGGAAATGTAATCGTATTTGTTCCAACCATAAAAGGGTTTGAATTATTTAAGGACTAAAAACATTATTTTAAGTCAACGAGTGATACGTGAGGTACATTTTCAGGGATAAAATTCATTAGTTGATTCCTTATTCTTGTGGATTCTTACACATCTGCACTGTATAACAGGGATACATTGTGCTTAATAGACCATGGGCATTTGTGCAGTGGCTTGAAAAAGCAGATATTAAAGAAGAGTATGAGCTATTTAACTTTAAATTTCTAATTTTCTGTATTTCTCTCTCTTGGGAATGGGAATTTGGTTGACTTTTGTTAGCACTGTATATCAGTTATATATTGATGGCAGAGCCAGATCATATAATTGTGAAACCTATACCCAACTTAGCCACAGATGGGTATGGAGCTGCATTCCCTTTCTTCTACATCGAACCTAAGAAGTATGAAGCAGTGCTAAGGAAGTACTTCCCTGTGGAAAAGGGACCAATAACTGATATTGATCCAATTGGGAATTCACCAGTTATTGTTGGGAAGGTATCTGTCGATTAGTTTTCTGTGATAATAATGAATACTCTTTATTTGGTGTCATTTCATAAATTTTGTGTGGATGAATGTTAGAAATACCTTAAGAAGATTGCTCCCACTTGGATGAACGTTTCTCTGGCAATGAAAAAGGATCCTGAAACTGATAAAGCTTTTGGATGGGTGCTCGAAATGTAATTTCATTTTCTTCCTTCTCTTATTCATGTCATCCTTTCTTAAAAACTCAGAATAATTTGACCTTTTTATGTTTTTATTTTGTATCATTGACTTAGGTATGCTTATGCGGTTGCATCCGCTCTTCATGGTGTTCATAACATATTACACAAGGACTTCATGATTCAGGTTCAATAAGGTTCTTTCTTTCAGTTTTTTATACGACCATTATTCATATGCAAATTATACAAGGATCTTTGATGTATGTAGATGTTGGAAATAATCCAACTGAGTCAAAGTCTCACCTTAAATAAAATGACAGTTAAACATTATATAAAAGGAAAAATGAAAGACTCAATGTCATAAATATATATAATCTCTCTCTCTCTCTACTATAACATAACCAATCAGTCCATTACTTGTAGCTTAGAAAAAAATTAATTATATGTAAGAACGTCCATTATCTTACACTGGTGACTAGATGATAGGAGTCTGTCGGGATAAATTTTCTAACAATCATCGATAGGATAAGAAAAATCAAATAAATAAAACCCATTACTCGCGATAAATTCAATTTAAGCACCTCAATTTCTTCATAAGCAATTGAATACCTAAAGGGTTTGGTATTTTTCTTTTGGAAGATCTTAAACGGACGTTTTATAATTAAAAAGTTATTGTAAAAAGGTTATTAAAAAGCTGATTTTTTTTTTGTCTATCATTTGTTCTTGAAATTTCATAATTTTTCAATAAAACGCATAATTCATCGAAAGCTCTCTATCCTCAAAATGGCTAATATTTGTTTGTTTATCATGCGTTTCAGCCTCCATGGGACAAAGAAATTGGCAAGACATACATAATTCACTATACATATGGTTGCGACTATAACATGAAGGTACTGTGTTGGGATTGGGCTCTACAAATTTCTATTCTGATGTGCAATGAAAAATAAAGGGAAAGATTTATAATTCAATTATCATTCTAGGAAAAGTACATCTTAATTTGTATTTAATTGCTTACAGTTGTCTCTCAATGTGTGTGATGTAAAATATTTTAGGGTGAGCTGACGTATGGAAAGATCGGAGAGTGGAGATTTGATAAAAGATCGTACGATAAGGTTGCCCCTCCGAAAAATCTGACACTGCCGCCCCCCGGTGTTCCAGAAAGTGTGGTATGTAATTTCACCTCCCTATGGTTTTACCTAGTTTATTTATTTGTTCGCCCTGGCTTTCTTTTTGTTTTTTATTTCAATTAAAGATCCGCCTCTTTGAAACATTTTCTTTCAGACTTTTTTGAAATTTTTTTTTAGACTTTTGGTGTTGGCGATTTTCCGTAGAACTTTAACATTCAGCTATAAACCTTAACAGGTGACTCTCGTAAAGATGGTGAACGAAGCTACCGCAAGTATTCCAAATTGGTGGTCGTAGGGGCTATAGATGGTTACAAATTACAATCGTTGGAGAATGCAATGTAAACGCCACTGCTTATGTATTTATTATTCTTCGAACATAGTTGTGGCTGTGCGACAAGCCTGGGGAATTGTAACGCGTGCTTTCACAAAATGATTGCGTTCAGCTGCTGCTATACTATTTGTTTTCATGAAAACTTTCTTCACCATAATTTCATTAATCTGAAGGCGTCTAATAATTGAAGGTGAGAAGAACTAATTTAAGATAAAAAAATTAAGATCACCGACAGAAAGCTTATTTACAAAAAATTAAGGAGCAAAACTCAGCTCCACGTATAGATCTCCTAGCAAACTGTTGCCAGTCATATACAAACTACATGGCACCTTGGTTACATTGCAGCGACTTGCATTTTCAGGCGCCATGATGCTGCCATGTGGCCCACAATTGCAATTCGTCAGTTCATATAGCGCCTGCAATTTTTTGAATTGCAGTAGCATGGAATCTTTCCTTCGTCCTCGTGGTTAAAGTGGTAATCATACGTAATCTCTTCACCAGGAAATATATCCCTCTCAGCAAAGAAGACAACCTTGAAAAAACCACAAGCCAATTTTTTCCATTAGCGTGCAGTAAAAAGAGATGAAATCTGAAACCACACACGTAAAGTTCAAAGCGTTGCTAGGAAGGATCGGGTTCATCTAAACACGCAAACTATCAGAACATCTAAAAAAACATTTAATCCTCAACGTTTATATATTTGCAAACAAATCCAACATTTAAGTAAACCTTTGCTGTAATCACGAATCATGAATGAAACGACTCCGACGTATAATCAAGTGGTGCCACTTTTGCTAAACCATAACCTAATAAATCCAGAAAATTGAATAAAATGTTCGCAATTTACCTTCTTTTCATGCCTTACAGTAATCACTTTTGCCACGCAATTTGGCTGGTCATAAACATAATAAAAAAATATTTGTTAGAATGAATTGAAGAACAAATGGAACAGAGCAATTGTTGAAACACATCACGTCTATTGAAACTTCTAACGGTCGTCAAGTTATATCAAGGATAGACCAAAGAAATATTCATGAGTAAGGATTTAGTTTGCTCAGTGAATTAGTTTTTTATTAAATAATAACCAAATCAAACTACCATTTCGCAGTTTTGTTTACAGCACGAATCTTGTCAATTACAATTTGTTCATTTTTTACAAAACGAAAATTATAAAACGTTTCTACATAACATTGTTAAACATTATTCTATGAAAAATTGTGAAATAGACATAAAAAATCTGTTTGTAAGATTATTTTTATATTTATAATTTTAGCTTTAGCTTCCTCTAATATTGATAAATAAATTAGATAATATAGTTAACAATTACAATACAATTGTATTACCTTGTTTTAATAAATATAAATATTTTATAAGTAAAATTCAATCAGTCCATAATCAACCTTAAAGAGACTTTCTCTTAGATATTTGTTAGTTTTTTAATTAACTCTAAATTTATAATATTTTACTTAAATACAATAAACGATTTTATCTAATTTCATTCTTGATTTTTTATCCTAAACCACTCCGTTTAGTTTAGGAAAAAATAAATCCAGAAAATATCAGTTATGATCAACATCTGATTTTACGAATTTTGAGTCGGTTCAATTTTGAAAAACTTTCATTCCAGGATTATGGAGTTGAAATTAAATACAGCATGCACTGGATAAAGACTGATTAGAAAAAGGTTCTTGTTTGTACAAGCACGTTAGCTTTTTTGGATAAAGTCATCAATACTAAGCGTTCTTAACATACATATTTGATGACACTACCCGAAACAATTTTATGACAAGTATTGAGTCTTTATAAGCCAACAACCATAAGCGTAGACGAAGGCATTAATGAATGCAAACTAAAATCGAAAAAACTTAAAACGAGATGAACAATAAACGAAGAGTCAAACTTGAAGTAAACATACCAGGCACGAGTGGTTAACAAACCGAGCAATCCCCCCTTTCCTTGTGGCATCAATAATATGCTCTTTGTCTATCCTGAAGAAGTAGCAGGCACTCTTGTACTGAAGTTTCTTTCCAGATTGATAATCCTTCTCCCTTTTATCAGCCACACGCAATCCCACAATTTCACCAACATATTCAACCACCTAGAGAAGCATAAGAAATGCTTAATATTTGCGTTCACATAGTAGAGGCATATGAACACTTGTAAATCAGTATCATACCACTTCACCCCGGGAAATGAATCGAGAAGTGTAAAGACCAAGTCCGTGTATACGGGATTTGTACACAACAAGGTGTTTCCATCCCCTTGCTTGTTTGTACCGTGCGTATTCCTTCTGCATACAGCAGGAAATAAGAAAGTCAGGACAATAGGCTGAAGCTTACAATAAAAATTAGAAACTCTATTTAAAAAAATACATGTTTTCGTAGGCATAAAAGCTTATGATCTGCTAAAGTAAGATGCCCAAGATATGTGGATCTGGATTTTTTGTTAGGAAAACTAAACATTATCTTGACTTGAACAATGTTGAAAATAAGAGGATTTATGTAGAGGGAGGAAGGATAAATGACAATGAAACATTATATTAATATTAACTGAGATATATTAATATTACAATGCATGGATATGATTATGAAACCTAAAGAATTAACCCTTAACCCTTATACTAATCATAATACTGACTAAATAAGAGACAAATTAACATGAGGAAAATGGTAACTGAAATTGAGAAATCACCAGTAAAGAGGGACATGAATCTAAAGGATCAAGATACTCTAGGATAGGATAAGATAGGATGTAATATTTTCCATAATACTAACAAACAGAGTCATATATTAGTTACACATCTCAAGAAAATACTTAATCTAAAATATTAATCAGCTACGGACTAGTAGACAAAATTTAAACCTCATATTTCAACAAAACAAATGTATATCCATATTGGAGGCTATGCAACACAACCAATATACATACTCGACAATCATGCTCCATATCCAAATCGGGGAATTTTATGAGTCCTTGAGAACATAATTTCTGCCCGTTGATGTGAATCCAAGCATTAAGCTGCTCCTCAGGAACAAGGCATCCAACTTGGCAGTGATTATCCTGAAAACCATCCCATCTTCTTCCCTTGTAACCCTACAATAATCCAGAATAAGACATTTAATATCATTACATGTCAGTATTCGAAAAACCTCTGCCCTGAAAATGGTTTCCCACATCACCCGACAGGAGATAAAGTCCCATAAATGCTATGAATGAAGAAAATACCTCTACCCTGGCACAGGTGAATTCCTTTTCTTCTTGATTTCCCATTTCATCAATAGGATCGTACATGGACAGATATCTAGGTTCAATAGCATGAAGCATGCATCTTCCATAAAATCCAATCTTTTCATCATCAATACCTTCAGTCTCACTTTGCAACAGGTTCTGTAAAGTTGAGAAGCAATTGTCATGGGAGTTATGGCACATTAATGGATGCAACACTCAATTTGCATTATCAAATATTTATTGACAACAGAATTCATAACACATGTTTAAAATCAATGAAACACTTGATAACTCATCTTAGGTATCGAACTCAAGAAAAAGAAAGTGCATACCACAGCAATGTCCAATTGTCATGTTTACACCAATCATATCAAAATAACCTACATTTGCAAAGCACTTGCAAAGTACTTGCCAAACCAGGAAGATTTAACATATGTTCATTATGATAGGTATAATTGTAAGTCAACATGTAGAGTCATGCAATTACATTTTCTTCACAGGAGCAATTCTGATTGAAGCTCCAAACATGTTTTGATGAGATTAATAGAGCCCAGGTCATGCAGTTGTAATACTAATACAAACCCAAGTTCTCAAACAGCAAGCGACAATCCTAATATACTGTAGCAGTCCCACCCAGACTAAAAGTCAACTAAGCTTTAAGCATGTCGTAAGTAATAAACCCAAAATACAAATGAAATGACCTATTTCGTCAAAGAACTCAGACAAATAGTACTCGTGAAAAACCTTGGCAACATCCATTGGCATATCTAGTGGTAGGGAAGAATAGATCTCAATTTTTTCATAGCTTTGGTACGAGACATTTTCACTAACAGCAGATATTATTAGACAGCGGACCTTGTAAATAAAAATTATAGTTGCTAAAATAGTTTAACTAAAGTATGAGCAGAAAGTTTTATGATGTAAGTTCCCACTTATCAAAAAGAAAAATTACCTTTTGATGAGCACACCAAGGATGAAACTTGACAGAGCAATCAGCCACCCTGCACTCTATACAAGAACCACCGAATCGATTGCAAATGGAACAAACCTGTGAAAAATAGTTTAGCGAAAGAAGAGCAAATGCAAAAATGCCACAAAATAATGTTAAGAAACAGTTGTAAAATAAGTTTGACCTTACATAAAGTCAGAGCAAGTTGCGGACATAATAATATATTTCTTCATTTTCATAGTCAAACACTACAACTTTTACAATTCTATTGCATTCATTCTACAAACTACTAAGCTCACATATAAGGCCCAACAATCAATGTGCAGCTTACACAAATAACCCAGAACATGAAAATAAATAGCACAGCACAAATTAATGAAATAACCCTGAAAATAGCACAAATTGTGAAATTATTGGGTTAACTGCCTGTACTGTAACAAGACAAAGGAGGAAATGAAGAGTGATTTTGTGTCCTTGTTTGCAATAATAAGATACAACAAAAATAAAATAGAATACCTACACGTTATACCATGTAAACAGACTAATGTATTCACACAAAATTACTAATAATGGTAAAAGGGTCAGAACCCATGGAGAAGAATAATAACTTGTTTTACTTCAGAAATCATTGTTCAACCAGCTGAGCAATATAGAACTCCTGTTAGGTACTCACCACATCTGCCCTGGGACGCGAAACACCAGATACATCAAAAGCACTCATGGTGTCAACATTCGGGCATCTTGTTCCAGGAGTCCAAAGACCACAAACCATATGAATCCATTGTTTAACAGTTGGATCAAGAACTCCTGCAGTAATGCTGTTGTGTACCTTAAAATTAGAAAGACTAGTGAGGGTATGCTGCATATGATTTGTAGATATTTGAACTTTCACCAGATCTGTTGATGTATCACGGATTTTTGTCTTTAAAACCCTTTCTTGACCAGCCTTTGAGGATGGGAATGCATATATTTCCTTTCCAAAAAATTCACATGAAGTTGTATGCTTAGGCATGCCATCTTTCTCACCATTCCACACTTTTAGGAGGCTCTTGACAATCGCATGACTCGTTGCTGCTCGAGTCATAGCCCCACCTCCATATCCACATAGGACACATGCCTTGATATTGGAACCACACAAAACAAAAAGCATGGAAAGAAGTGTTAGATTAATTTTCAAATGAAGACTATACATACGCAGCAGCAGAGGAATCACAAACAGTCATGAAAAAATCATTCAATAGATGAATAACTTTATCTTGGGGTATGAATAGAGGCAAAGAATAAAAAAGATTTAAAGGATGAATGGCTTCATGTATCAGAAAGGAAAGCACAAAAAACAAGACTCATATATAAGGATTGAGAAATCAAATAGAAAATTAAAAATGCATATTGGATATACAATATTTTTGGAGTTGGTCCGGCATGGTCTGCAACACCAGCGACTTCTTTTGGGTAATGTGGAAACACCATAGCAAGCTTGGTGCACCTGGCAGACAAGATAAAGGAGATATATTAAAATCTTGTTTCATACAAAAAATATGAACCATTCAACAATTCAATATTACTAACTATAAAAATAAACATACTCGAATTAGGCATTGACAACATTCCAACAAACAGTTGATTTTATCATTGCTTGAGCTTCGACACACACAGCAGAAGGTATCTGAGTTTATAGTAGATATGTTTAGGTGACCTTGACTAGAGCTGCAAGAACACAATAGCAATGAGACACACAGTAAGAATAACAATATGGAAAGAAAACACTGACATTTAAATGGAATACATCTAAAACAGAATATGTAAATAGGACAGTTTTATTTGCTTACTTTCTACTTTTTGGGCTACACAAACCAGTCTCTCTGTCTTGAGCACAATTCATCATATCCGTCACTTTGGTTTCTAACATGCATTTAAACACTTTGTGAGACATTTCTCAGGAAAATAATTCTCTACAAATACGTGTAAATAAGAACCATGTTTCAAATGAAGACATACATGTGTAAATAAAAATTCATGCTATTAATAAATATTGTAGTATGGGCGACGTGCTTGGATAAATTTCAACCCTAAATTTAATAAATCATCACTCATAAGTTGTTGCTACTAGACTCCTGATGAAATCACACTACTCAAGTAACAAAGTTTGGTAGAATATGAGCAGTCAATAAAACCAAGCATTAGCCAACATCTATCAAGATCAGCTTGTAGATCGTCATAGGATGTGGCACTCCAATCATGAAAGAAAGCCAGCATTTAAGTTAAGGAGTAAATAATAAACCAATTAATAAACTACTCCAAACATGAATATGTTAATAATCCACACCTCACCATTATAGATTCTGTTTAATTTATTGCTAAAACAATTATTTAGAATAACAATCACATAGCTCTGCTCAAATTCACCTTTAGCAGTGAGCTCATTAATGCTGCGGTGTTTTCGAATGTCCTTGTTCTTCACCTTCAATCGAACATTTTCTCTATTTCCAACCCTAACACCCTGCTTAGCTTTAGCTTTAGCATCTTGCTTGCCACCTCTCTCCAAGTCTTCCAGGGACATATCAACATTTGCTTTATTATAAATTATTGTAGTTTGTGTTTCACCGTGTTCTTTAATTTTTAAACCATGGTTCCCACAGCAGGACCCACTATCTGTTCCAATGCTCAATTTCTTCCATTGCTTTTTTGAAGTTAGTCTAGGTTTTCCATTTGTGTGGCTCATACACCTTTTGGAAGACTTAAGGACCTTCTTGAGGGATACAATTTTTGCAGGCTTTTGCACCTCTTTAGCCAAATGTTCTTTACAAATTTCACCATGTTTTCCACATACTACTGGCCTTGTTCTATGATCATTTTCCTTTCTGCATAAGAATGGCCTCAACTTACCATTTTCAGGTTCCTCATAGGATGGTTCTTGTATATGAAACTGCTCAAAATCAGAAGTGAGATTCTTTCTCAATCTCTTTGTTCCAGAAAATACAGGCAGTGAGTGAAACTCAGCATCAGAATCTGATAGAGACTCATAGGAAACTTTATGAATGAGATGCTTGCTCAGACGATTCTTACAGGAAACAAATTTAGATGCAAATGCGGACTGTATACGTGTGTTACAAGATTGAACAAAGGAAGACTTGTTAAATGATTTCTGCAGGCTAGGCAGAGAAATTTGCATTTCTTTTGACAAACTAGAAGAGGAATTAAAAATCTCAGCATCTTCATTATTCTTATTGTGCAACAAGGAAGGGAATTCAGAAGATAGTGAAGCATCTAGAATCTTCACCACATTTCTCTTTCGCTTTCTTCCATTGATGCCCCTCTTGACTTTTTGAGATTGATTGGTTTTACAATTAGCAGAAAGCACAAAATGATTTTGATTCCTTTCTTTCTTCCATATCAAGGAATCTAACAGTTTAAGATCATCAAGTAGATCGCAACATGATTCATCATTCAACACTCTCGAACAACCATTTTTCAAATAATTCCCAGAGATCAAGCCTAGAGACTCACCGGTTCTTTCACTTTCAACCAAATCTGACATGCAGCCTTGATCAATACCTGACCCTTCATCGACTTCGAGCTTGTTGACAACGCCAGTGTCTATAGCTTCATCAGTACAGTAATCAATTTTGTTCACCATCACAGATGCCTGAGTAATCACAGGAGCAGAGCATCCAGAAGAAACATTAGAATTTTCTTTCTCTTCTGACAGGTCTCCCATATCAGTGGTTATTTTGGAGCGTTTTGTGGAAATGTTTCCAAGTTGAAAACCATCTCGTGCTTCCTTATCGAAACCATTAAATGTTTGATCTAAAGATGTCGCATCACAAACTGCTTTCCTGACCTTACTGGGCACATCTCTCCATTGAGGAGCATGCCCACCTTGCTCAAAGTGGATATTTCCATTGTTCGAAGTATTCAGATTTCTAAACAAATCTGAAGGCATCTTCAAAGAAGTTTCACCACTGACATCAGCAAGTTGTTGCCCTAGGTTCTTACGAAGGGGTTCAATCCCTGAGGAAAAGTTGCTTCGGCAACAGTTTATCAGAGCAGGACAAGGATACTTGCCTTCCAAACATATATTTGGTGATTGCTCGGAGTATTTTTCACATGCACTAGATCTGATATTGTCTTTGTTTATACCAAGGCTGCAAGATCAAAATTGGAGGAGATAAAAAGCAACAAAAATAGTTAGAGGTGTCACTTACAGTGGATGGAAAATTTTGCAGATATTAGTAAATGGAACCCAATTTTCTGATCCGACAAGATGGAATTAGAAAAATGAATAATGTTTATCAATCAAATACCCAATTGACATGCATAAAAACAAAGCCAGGCAGGCATTTGTTTTCAACAGTTTCTGGTTTAAGGTGTTTATCCCGGCATAAACAAAAACTACAATACCTATTCTTGCAACATATCATGTGTTCAAGTTCCATCACTCACTCTTCTGACAATGGATGATTTCTCCCATACATCTCTATCAACATGTTAGGAGGCATTTCTACCTCCACTCACATTTAAGATGCCAAACTTATATAGTCAGCTTTCTCTAGAGAAATTTGAAGATCAATTTACACAATCTTGAGGTTTTGATTAAATAAAATTGCTTGTGAAGAAACTACATGAAAAAGAATAAGAGTTGCAGTTTCATCCACAAATGTCAACAAAATAACGGGTACAGTAGTAACTGCTACAGAAAAATGTTGGGAGACTGATTTATCCCCGAAGCCTTAAGTATTATACCAGGGTAGCAAATTATGGAATGGCCTCTATACATAAGATAAATATCAATCGTAACTAATAATCAACAATCATAATCTTGAGACTCAATCACCCACCAATCTAAGGGACAATTAACAAGTCAACAAAAACAAGAGTCTGATCTGAGATGTTCTGTTGACCTGATTGTGACTAAGAAGATGCGGTGTATAAACTAACTGCAATCAATAATCAGCAGAGAAAAAAAAAGACAAAACAGGACGAAGAGGGTGTGTTTCACATAAAAAAGAAACAAAGAATGGAAGGATGCAAGAAGTTGCACAGAAGAAAGGGTGAACCTGCAGGGAATGCGACATATTGTCTGGAGTAAGGAGAAGATAACCCAATGTAAAGGAGGCCAAATAAAACATGTTGGAATTTTCAGAAAGAATGTAACTTGTTCCAATGTAAATTTTAATGTTTAGATGGAAAAGCAACTTGTAGGATCTATGAAGGAGAAGGTTCACTGAGAAGATACAACATCAATGAGATATAAACTCAACCACATAAGGATTGACACACTCTTTATCCAAAACATTAAGATATAATAGATCTTCACCTTTATATGTTGCTCCACTTTCTCGTTTCTACCTAATATGGGACTTGAACTCACATTTGGATTTTCAACACAACCATATTAGTCATTCTTTGAGTAACGGAGGATTTTGAACCCTGTTTTCATTATGATCCGGACAAACATAAAATTTCAAAATCACCTTAAAACTTTGAGGGGTCAATGAATAAAGGAGAAAAGAAAAGAATTTAATGGCCTGTTAATCTCACTGAACATCATTTGTTTTCAATCTGTAAGATTGCTATTATCACTCTGCACAAACACAATGCAATGCCACTTCAGTTGTGTTCAGTCTGCAAGATGCACTATCATGCCACTAAAGCACACTAATAGCTAATTTGATGATAGGTGAAAAGTCATCATTAAATGAAGATTTAAAAAAAAAAAGGTACCAAAATTAATAAAGATAACCTATATCCTTGACTGTGTAAAATGAGGACAAAAAATTCAAAATGCAAAATATAACATGATATTTTACATTATCTGAATTGATCATGCCCCTAAAAGCGCATGATCCCATGCAACAAGTAGCATCATAGTTGCATAGTTGCCTTAACTTTGCCGGTCCATGTGTTAACCAAAAAGCAAAAACAAGCACATCAAACATAGCAATATATGTAGCAAATAAATAACCAAGTAAGCTAGGCCTCCTAGTTATAACAGCCATGAGTTTCTGCACCCATGCTTTACATAATACCACCTGGATTAAGCCAATGGCTGATGTTTCTTCCCTAGAAAATTTAAAACATCTTGCTACACATTGTTGTCTTGCTAACAAAATCATTAAATTAACTACCCCACCCCAAATGTTCACATATTTAACTAAAGAGGTTGAAATTATTTGCTTTAGGCAAAGGTTTAGGTTCAAAGAGATCATTGGTTATAACAGAGCACGTTTTTCTCTCCCTCGAATCTATCATGCTTCTCACTGTCGATCCCACATATCGGAAAAATCACAATGTTTCACATAGAGTAGAAATAGAACTTAAAAAGGGTATATCATAAGGAGAGCACAACACTCATTGCATAAGTTATTTTTGAATATTCAGTTAGACTCAAAATCAGATTCTATCAAACTCTATCCCAGATCCACTCTACTAAAGGGTGACCTATCATGTTATCTATGCACCAAGTCCATCCGAATTGGGTGAGGAAAGATATATGGAGAAAAACTCAAGTCCCACATTTACTTGACATAATGAAGGAGTGTACAAGTGAGGGGCTCAGCTAATTTCATAAATTCGTATTGGGGGTTTAAGTTCGGCCCAAACTTACATTCTAAGACCCCAACACATTGAAGTACACAAATAAATTAAGCACCTATTTAATTAGCTTCTACCACACAAAAGCTTATTTCATAACTTTGATCATAAAAAAATATAAGCTTATTTCATTCGTAAGCTTCACCATGAACTTTAACTTACAGAAATCATAACCTATTTCAAAAACCCAAACACACAAGTTCTCCAAACGCACCCCTAGTATCTTCTTCTACATCCTTCTGGAGTCAAACAAAACAACAACCCATACCCTAGATATATTTATAGAATCAAGGGAAAATCACTCCTTAAGATGCCATTAGAATAGGCTGCAAACTGAATATGCTGGCTGATTTTAAAATCAAAGCTACAAAAGATAATTTTCCAGCAGTGCAACATAGATATCCTTATGACATTTAACATCATAGTTGTCTGGAATTACCTTAAAGAAGTCTCTTCGTTTTGAAGATCATAAGAATGTTTACATTGTGATTCCTTTTCTTTAGAATGTAAAGGTGTTGGTGACAGGTCAGACAAATGATAATATCCGTTCATACCTGTGAGGACAATCACAATTAAATGCACAAGCTACAAAACTAAACTAACATTAAATTTCACAATCAATGGAAGGCTATCTCTAAAACCACCGTTAAAAGTAATGGGAAAATTAAAAAAAGCATTATGCTTGCCTGTGAGGGAAGGCAACTTCTCTAAACCAACAGTATTCTCATGATTCCCAAATATCGACCTATTTTGAGGCAATTTCAATGTTGCACAAGAGGTTCCCTGTTCAGATGTTGAAGCCTCACAAGTATAATGCTGAAATTTCAAAATACTGCTGGATCCCCCTTGCTTCTGATTCATATTAAAATGCAATGCATGATATTGCTTAGATAACTCTGGTATCTGTGTCACAGCAAGCAACCTCGTGTTTTCATCAACAAAATAAGCATCCCTATTAATGGCCTGCTGCTGTGGCAAAGTCGGAGTCTGATTTGACACAGAAACTGAAACATGACAGGGATTGCCTTTCAAAATCTCTTTAAATGGAATGGAGGTCTGAGTATTCATCACATAATTTTCTAGCCCATGAGAAGACGTATTGTGTGAACCATGCAAAATATTTGCCCGCACCGATGTATCTGATGGCAAGGTAGATTCAAAATTTGGTTCATACATCTTTTCATTAACAACTGAAATACAACTATCATAACCACCAACAGATCTCATCATGGAGCTTGGATATTTCATTAACTGACCAATTCCAAATCCCGGATTTCTTTTGCCACCAGAATCTTTGGCAAAGCTCACCCCTATATTATTTTCCAAATATTTATTGGTCCCTACGACAGATTTATTTTTCGATTGCCTTCCTGTGAGACCATAATCAGAATACATTTTCTTAGGCATGTTATGGCTGTCATCAGCCCACAAATTTTCACTAGCTTGTGTCTTTCTTCCAGGTACATCAACTTGCAAAAATGGTGAAAATGATACACCCTTGGCCACATTTTGTGTTTCTGATCTAGCTTTAACAGAAGCCTTACCCACAGCTGACATATAGTTCTTGGGTTTAAGCTGAGGCAATTCTTCAACCAATTTGAATGAAGCAGCAGAATAGCTAAAATTATTCTGTAATCCCTCCTCCCTGCTGAGGTCTGCATCTAATGTATAATGTACATTGTTAAGAGGTTTCTTCAAAATGAAACAAAAGGACAATATACTGAATAAATAATAGATACAATATAACACTCAAGCAATAAGCTAAAACAAAACATTGATTCAACGCACTATTAATCATCTGCTTCTGAGGTTGCAATTTTGGTGTACTGGCAAGGGCATTAAACTGCAGTGGTTCTACAAATGATGGAAGTGGGTTTCCCGTCTGAGGTGGTTGACCAAGCCTAAGGTCAACATTAGATGAAGCCGCATCTCTGCCTACAAGACCATTTGCTTTTGGTTTTATGCAATCATGGTCTTTCAAAAGGTTTGTTGGTGTTTGCAAAGGTGAGTGGACCGTTGACAAACTTACTTTCCTTTTCAGAGAATCCAAGAAAGGAGGTATAGGGTGACAACCATCATCCAGCTGAGTTCCACCAAAATTTGGTGCAGTTGTGTACATAGCCAGATTAGATTCCATTAACTGGCTTTTCAACAAATCAACAAAGCTGTTTTGTGAAATACCAGTAAAACCTTTGAGTGGAATGTTGCAACCATCCTGGATTGTTGTTGCTTGTTTTCTGGACAATGTACCAATAAATAAATTGTTGTCCATATGAGCATTATTTGGAAACATGACATAGTCAGAAGACTTTCCAGACCTTGACATGACTGCAGATGAACTAAAAATATGAGACAAATTAGTCTTGGACATATCAAACACGGATGCATTGGATTTCATCGGACTGCCTGTTGTTGATAATACTTCTGGCCAGTCCCATCCATTCTCATTCCCCAGAGACCTAATCTAAAGCATCATAAAAGTATCACCATCCAGTGTTCTCGTTGCTTCAAACATGCAAATAAGAAATTCAATTCTTAATGCCAACAACAAAAGGAGAGGTAAAATGAATGCACAGATTTATCAAATTTGCACACACAGTTTAAAATATGGTTCTCTTCTAATAAGTTAGCTAGAGTTTACACAAATAAGTGTCACTGTCTACAACAATACTACAATGCCCTAATGAATGAATAACCATCACGAATGAATATAACTATGACTAGGACGAACAAACATAAGATTAGCATACATGTTTGGGTTGTCCAGTAATCTGTGTAATATCTAGAGTTATCGAGGTTACTTTGTAGTTGCTATTTTACACCATGCAACAACATACTTACAAAAACAGGACTGGCTGACTGAATAAGAAATACAATTCATGGTTTGGTGGTATGATCGTAAATCTGATGGCAAATTTAAGAAGTCATTAGTCAGCAAACATGTAGAAGAACTTGCTAGTGACAATTTACATAAATGTATAAGATTTAATAGTTTGTAAAATAGGAGAAGTTTAGCTTAATGATTTCCTTTATTGCCTGTCGGTGTTAGACAATGTGCATATGGCAACCAATGTCATAAAGGCAATTTAATTTGCACAGTCCAACAATTTAAATCACTTTCCTAACTCTTAAAATCCTCCCAATATTAGAGAGAAGACAAAAGTAACAAGCAGGAAAATTAGTTTGCTTATCCCCCTCCTTTCCCTCCAAATTTTTAAACCAAATTAGGATAAAACAATTCCCTCCCTCCTCTCTGTTCCCTCCAACCCAACACACTAAACAACACACATCAGCTTATATGTACTAGAAATATTCCAATAGAAAGTTGAAAACTACAAGCAACTGAATAAAATTTTAGGGACCAGAACATGACACCCTCAAATCCTGAATAAACTTGAAGAATGGAAAAGAAATCTATGATTCCATGCTCAGTGGAAAAACTTAAAGGAAAGCATTAACACTCAGAACAAGAAGTTGATAAATTCCTAAATAGTAAGCAAAAGATAAAGTAGAAACACCCATCTCCAAAACACAAGGGCATACATTATATATCAAGAAACATCAACAAAAAAATTGCATGAAAGCTACGTCTTACCCCAAACTTCAAGAAGTAAAGCTTCCGCCATTGTGCAATGGTCTCCCCACTCTCCATACAAACAGCATCCCCTGGGTCACCACCATGTAAACCCGAGTGCTGCAATATCAGAGAAGACAAACCAGTAAGCATTAATTGTGCATAAAAATGTGAATTTAACTGCTCAAGAAGGGTGTGGCTAAACATTGTTATAGAGTAGAACCAGTTTTGACGGGATTCACCTCGCAAAACTTAAGAACAGACATGTGGGAACAATGGCATGAGCACACAACACCAAGAAGCCCTGTATGGCTAAGAAGAAGATGGCCACCTTTAAATTGAAATTGGAAATGTGAGCTATCTATACATTTACCAAGGATATATCTTATTCAATAGGACACTATAAGCTTCTAGCACTCACTTTTTCCCATGCAGAACACACGAGGACACCCACTCATATAAGGAGTTGCATACTTAGGTGAGCCCCATTCTGAAGCAATATTTGGTGTAGTGTGAATATCTGAGCAGCAAATATTTAGACCAAATGCAGGGTATGTACCTCGGCACTGACCTGGAAAAGAAAAAGATTCTGCCGCTTTTGTACCACAAGGAACTGTGTGCTGAGTAGCAGTATTGCTGCCCCAAATATTATGGAAGACAAAATTACTACTATTATTCAAACCAACCATTGCTCTAGAAGAAATCTCAGGAAAATTATTCACCCAACTTTGCAGGTTACAGTTAATCAAATTTTCTGTTATCAACCCCACTCCAGATGTCCGGAAGGTTCCACTTTCTATAGAATCAACAACAGAATTCCCAATAGCATCAGTAGAATCACCAGATGACATGCCAAGCTTGCGTTCAGACATATTCTGAAAATCATACCGTAACGAGGATGGAGAACCATAAGGTAGACCCATAAAAGAATTTCCAGCATCTGTTTGGCCTGACCCAGAGGTGGTTGAGAGGGGAAAGCTTGGGTAAACAGGGCCTTGCTTCCCTCCAACAAATTTTGATCTTAAACCATGTGCTAATTGTGGATAAAGATAACTTGCATCCATCTCCTATTTAAAAGAAGATGATAAAAAAGATCTATTAAAATAGCAAGAGAACTAGTAAAAACACAGTGATCTTAAAAGAAACAGAAAAAAAATTCTAAAAGACAGTATTTATTAATGATGTAGTACACGCAAAGTTGGAGACTATAATGCATAGATACAACATGGGACCCCGATGCAGCATAGATGCAGGAATATTGTTAGAACATTAAATAACCATAATACAAAATATAAAGAATTAAATTAACATAATACATAAGACTTAAACCAAAAGATAATCACTGTTCTAAAAGTGAGCAAGGGCATTTTAGCTGTGGTACGCATGATAAAATGTTTCAACTTCTCCAGTTATTGTATTTGTAGTATTTCCATTTATAATGCTATAAAAGTTCAAACAGAAAAAGCAGAAAAAATGTAAAATGCATTTCATAGGTAAGCCGCTATTTTAAGTGTTCATACTCATTTGGTTGCAAATGAAGATGAGCGTGCTATTCCCAAAGATGAATACTATGAAAATTTCCCATCATGCTGAAACGAATTTTGAAGCTACTTGACAGCAGGTGCCTCCACAGAAAACAAATTATGATCATAGGCAAGGCCACATAAATAATTTATACTAGGGCACTAAAGGAGCAGTAATGAGATCCAAAACAAACCAAATTATAAATATCATTTTTGTAAGTTGAATGAAAACCTATCCACTCAAAGGCCACCCAACCCGAAATTTACTTACTAAATGCAAACCTTTTCTGTGCAGCTGTTCACCAATGTCAGATATTTCTAAAACTAGACTGAATATTATTTCTTAATTGGCAGTAAAGACCCTGTTAAGAAAAAAAAAAAGATTAAGGACATCAGGGGTCCTAACATCCATGTTCTTTCCCATTATATTTATTTTTTAATTTAAAACCAGAAAACCTGCAGATCCCGAGCAGATGCATTATATCCAAAGAAAAAAAAGCTTTCCCAGTTTCCTATGAATGTTCTTCGACGATAAAATCTACTACAATTTTAGTGTATCTAGTCAAACTACTGTAATATCTCAATAAAATTTCATTATAAGACAAAGCACATAAAGTATCACTAATACACGCCACGTCACCAGATACTAATTCAAGAAGTGTATACGTGCAAACACAGACGCTTTTCAAGTAGATTTGATTCCCACTATTGGAATTTTGTTACAAACTCAAAACATCAATAAAGATGAGACAAAAATAATTCCGCCCTGCAAATGTTGATACAATACATTATTCCTTTAAATAGAATTGGTTCCTATAAAAAAAAATTGAAACGTAGTGACTACTGGTATTAGTACTGTAATATCTCAACTAAAACATCATTAAAAGAGACAGCAAATAACGTATCGCTATAACACAACCACATTAGCAATTATTAGTTCAAGGAGTGAGCATGATGCAAACATAGACTATTTCCAAGTAGACTCCATTTCCACTCTAGGAATTTCGTAAAGAACTCGAAACCTAAATAACACGAAACAAAATCCTTTCACTATGCGAATCACGTGACACAACACATAATTTCTTTAAATAGCATTGGTTCGTATGAATATATATATATATATATATATATATATATATATATATATATATAATGACAATAATGACAGACTACCAAAATTACGGAGTTTAAATGGTCAACACGGATGAACAATGATAAAGTACATTGCATTGCATCGAAACAACAAAGCAATTTATCACGTTACACATAAGAACATTCACGAAAGGCACATTCGTCATCGCATTACTGCATGTTTGGTTTATCATCCAACACAACTCGACGCGCGTTTTTTTCTAAGCAATGCATAGTAGATTTCACGTTCTTTATGTGGAAATTGGCATGAAATGCGTAATTAACACTGAATCAAACAGAACTAAACTGTAACAACCGAAACGCACAGGTAATCACAGTAACCGAAAGAACAGCTCAGACAAACAAAACAGGGCAGAGTCAGGTTACCGGCTCCGGCGCCGATACGGAGGAAACCGTCGCAGACATCGACGGCTGAAACGGCGAACCACAATTCCTCTGCCACGCGCCCTCCATCTCTGAAAATCACAAACATTCCACGAAACCACTGGAGAGTCGTGATGCTAACCACTGCGGAAAGAGCGTTAAGTGAGAAAGAGAACAAGGAAGTGGAGACAATGCGCAGACTGAGAAGTGAGAACCCTAAAGCGAAAGGAAGTGATGGAGTTGTATTGAGCGCAGTGGGAACAGCACCGAGGAGGGTGTGGATAAAAGTGGGGTGCAGGTGATGGTGGTGGAGCAATCCGAGGCTGACAGAAACTGACACGAAAGGTTATGTTCGGGGATTTTGGAGCGTTGATCTATCTTATGTTCGAGGGAAGAGAGATCGGAGGCCGTTGATTATGAATACAGCTGGTTTGGTCAGTTTGGGAAAGTGAATGGGCTGTATCGTCAAGTTGTGTGAGCAGGTTTCACGGGGCATCGTTGCGCTGACACATTGAAACGTGTCTTCGTAATAATTTCGCTTGGGTGGTTGTCCCTGTTTATAAGTTCCGCGCAGAGACATAGTTATTATTTATTTGACACATAATATAAAAATAAATAATAAAGTTTTATATTTGGTTTAATACAAAGTGTACATTTAAAAAAAGGTTAAATAACACTCTATATTTTGTTAAAAAATTTTAATTCGATCATTTTACTTACACTGTTCAAAACATAATGGTATAAATGACACTATGGTCAGACTTGAGCGAGTTGAACAATTTAATGAATACATGACTAAAAGAATTAAATGAAGAGAAAGAAACGTAAATAAATATTTGAAGAATTAAATGCAGAGAGAAAATACACCACTTTCACTCAATAACATTACTTAACATACATTCACACACAATTCAACCTATCCATATATCACCATCAAACGAATATAATTCATCAACCATAAAGATCAATACATTCATGACTTATTGCAGATTATCCTACTAACCATACACCAAGTACATAACCCAATATTTCTAAAACAACTATGTTCCCTCCATGATCAAGTATTCAAGTCTCTCGACTTCTTTGGACACTACCTAACAATGCACCAGTTTTATACACCCACCATCAGATTCCACCTTATATCACCCTATATACAATTCCACTCAATAATAACTCAAAAATGATATAAATTTTGAAACTCATAAAACTAGATATCTCACTGTTAGGACGACATCAATATAACTAAAACAAAGAATCCTTGCTTATTTACAACAAAACTGTGACCATTAGATAACCTTTGCACCTCTCTCATCAATCTTTATATCTTCAAAGAAAACTTATTTAGCTTCCCTATACCTATTTTATAAACCCAAAATTTAAAATTTGCACAACGAAAACCTTAGCTTGTAACCCTTCACCATTCTTGTAATTCACCCATGCAACCCCACAATATCATTTGCGTACTTTACCTATCAACAAGGGACGTAGCAGCACATGCACTTGGTATTAACCATATTATGATTTCCTCCCAAGGTAGGTACCACGAAAACCATTAAATGTCATTATCAAGAACCCCTTCTAGCTCTCTGGATTCTAACGTCTACACTATACAGGAAGAAAATATAATATTTCTCTTCTTCTTACCGTGTCCCCCATATGCATTGAAACTCTTCACTTGCAAAAAGAAAACATGCACTCATATCATTATGTGATGACAGTACATTACTCAACATTTATACTACTTTCATACATTTAATACCCATCAAACATTCCATGCAATTACAAAATAATAATTTATTATACCCATAAACCCATGTTGGTATCTCTATTGAGAACACAACCCATCACCAATGTACTCTATTGTCATATTTCACTCATATAACACGTTAACACTTCCTACTCTTATTTACATTCTTAACCTAGCCAATCCACGGCTACCCTCCAAAGATTTACGATATGCATTTATCCCTTACTACAAAATCACATGCACTGTAATCCTTCAACCTGTGCATTCATATTCTAGGAATAACATCCCAAACCATTTTTTTTCCTTAGCAACCCACAACCTTCCAATTGGGTATACTATCTATCCACACTGTTTCTCAAGATTAACAAGTTTCAAAAGAAACACATCATGCTCAATCAATACATCAAAAAGTTAACTCCCCTCACTTGGGTTTTCTAGTGAATTCTTTAAAGGCCCCTTGGTTCCTAGAAAATCCTGTGACTGCAACAAGGACCCCTGCACAACTCCTTGGTACTTACAGTCTTCTCCCTATTACTCACTACGCTCAAGGTGGAGGACAAAAAGTGGGGGTTTCTCTCTTGCGCACTCTCTCGAGTTGTTCTGGAATGTAGATTAGGGTTGCTTCTTATTTCGCACACAAGCCATCGGAGGCCGCGCATTCTTCCTCCCCCGCTGCCGTCGTCGTTGAGGATACCCAGCTAGTGGCTCTCCCTCGGGTCTCTCTAGACTCTCTCCAGTACCCACCGGGATACGTCGGTGCGGTTTCCCACCGGTCTCGGTCCGACAATGGTGACGACGATGTTGCTAGGATTTGCACCTAACTTATGTCATTTCAATTTTTTAAAAATATTTACATAGTGCAACCTCTTCAAATGTGCCACGTATTCATCAAAGCACAACTCACTTAGGTTAGGCCACGGTGGCATTTAGACCGTTATGTTTTTAACGGTGTGAGCGAAAAAGACCGGATTGAACATTTTTTAACGAAATATGGGGTCTTAATGAACTTTTTTAAAAGATAGGATCACTTTGAACAAAACTCCTAAAAGTATGGACCGATGTATTAAACCTTTATATTCTTAAAAAAGAAAATAAAAAGTGAAAAATAATAATATTAAATTAATATAAAAAAATTTATGTATGTCTAAAATATATTTTTAATATATTACTTTAAATTATATCTAATATATGCAAAACTTGATTCGAATCATTTGAATTCACGCAGTTCTAATTTTACATTGTGTATTTTTATAAAATAAATATATTATTTTATGTAGTTTAATTCTATAATTTTGTTCTTTATATTATTTTTATTTTATTATATGTTTATTTCTTTGTTTTAAATTTTTATTATTTATAAGGTGATTCCGTTTAAACAACTTATTAACATTTTTAAACAAATGTGATTGATTGGTTCCATTTAAATTGTTAGTTTTGTTTTGAAATAAATAATTCAAGCCAAACTTATTAACATTAATGTGTATTGATAATTATTTCTTAAAATTAAATTAACTCTTCTTGTGGTCACATCTAAATTCTTTTATACTATTTTATTTTTATTTTTATTTTCCTATTATGGTTTAATAATTACTTTGAATCTTTTCATTACTTTTTTTTAAGAGAAATCACATTGTTAGTTTTTATTTATTCAACTTCATTTCTATAAGCACAATTTAAATAAAAATGTAATGTATAAAAAATTATAAATTGGATGTGGACATTTTTTATTAACCTAAAATTAAAGTGGAGTGTAAATAAAAATAAGTAATTTATTTATTTATTATCAAGACTCAGCTCTCCATTCCTCTTAACTTTTAACCTTTTTTTAGACATAACGATATCATTATAAGATTTGATATATTATCGATTACTATGTTGGTTCTTTTGAGCAGATTTTATGTTTAAAGAGATTTTGATGTGTGAAGTTGTGGAATTTGTTTGTATTTGTTTCATCCAATTTGAAAATGAGAAAATGAACATATTTCTAAGATGACAAGTTTTTCCCATATCATTTGTGGTGAGGTGATTTGAGAAAGATATTAGTGTAATGACCATATTATCCTCGTTAAATTCACTAAAATGGTTGATGATGAACCAATAGCCACAAGTATGGAACTGTGTTCTAGAATGAAGTTGTGAATTTCTATGGTGGTTATTAGAAAATGTGTTTAAGTCTAACTTAACCCCACAAAACCGGTTTGTAGGGTGAGATTAACACATCCCATCATGTCGAGGTATATACATCTTAAGCGTGAGATTAAACATTTTTTAATGGGTGGTCCGCTAGCGGCCCGATAGCGGGTGAAACAATATGTCCAGCAAACAACAAATATCGTTAGGATAGACTCTAACTTGACTCTAATACCATATTAGAAAATGAGTTTAAGCCTAACTCAACCCCATAAAACCGACTTGTAGGATGAGATTAACAGTGGTTAAGGAAGGTGATGATAGAATGTATGGTTGAACTTCGGAATTGTAGGATTAGTTATGGATAGGGTAGAACCAATTCTGTAACCGGGAATCAATTTTGGGTGGCATATTAAACCGATTCCAAACTTCACAAAGAAAAAAGGAAGTTGGTTCTAGGTGGGATTGAATCAATTCCAAACTTCCAATCTTCACATGAATTTAAAATTTGAGGGCTTTTCCTATTGCCATAATTATTATTTTATCAACTTATCATATTTAGAAAATGGGTAATTTGGAATACAACTTAATAACTCATTTAAAAAGTTTGTATTAAACGGATGAGTTTAATTTTCAAATTGATTG